ACAAAATGCAGTTAAATCCTTATTATGGTAAACAGCATAAATTCTCTTGCAAACAAAAAAAGGAGTGTTCATTTCTTTTGGATCTTTTGCGCATAACCAAACTAGTCATTCGATAAAAAAAAAAAAAAAACAGCAACGCGTAACTTTGCGAAAGTCCTTCGGCTTAATTACTGATTGTTAATTTTGATTCATATCAAAGAAAACAAATATTTAAGAATATGAGACTAAAAGAAATGCTCTCTGTGAATGAAATTATTCCATTCAATCTGTTTTTCAAAACTTTTTCAAAAATAAAAATATAATAGAAAATATGTTAATTTACACCTTATTTTCAATACCATAATGTAAAACAAAAACTGGACTTCATTTTATTGATTGACATTGCATTGTAGTGCAGTGCAACAAAATGCAGTTAAATTCTTATTATGGTAAACAGCATAAATTCTCTTGCAAACAAAAAAAGGAGTGTTCATTTCTTTTGGATCTTTTGCACATAACCAAACTAGTCATTCGATTAAAAGAAAACAGCAACGCGTAACTTTGCGAAAGTCCTTCGACTTAATTACTGATTGTTAATTTTGATTCATAGCAAAGAAAACAAATATTTAAGAATATGAGACTAAAAGAAATGCTCTCTAGTCTGTTTTTGAAACCTTTTTTTCAAAACATAAAATGAAAAAAGTGTATGTATTCAATCAGTTTTTAAATTCAATTAAGAAAAAAAAATGACTGAGTTAATTTTGATTGGAGAATTTGGCAGGCATCACATTATGTATCGCATTGTATTGCAGCAGAGTGCAGTATGGTGCAATTATACTTGAATTTGAACAAGTACAATTATTTAACTTGTCAATGTATTAGGAATATTCCCCACCATCCACCCTCCAAAGACAGCTTTTATATACAATTTGTCCTTGTGATTGAATGTTTATTTGGAAATTTGCATAATGTAAGTTTTGTTTCAAAGTTCGATAACTCAAATTATGTCCCTTTGAACAACGTAGACAAAACGATCATTGATTTCTGCTTTCTGTAAATGTTTAAGCAATGCTAACAAGTAACAGGCCTGTATACTACATATAAGACGTTAGAGAGACATTCATAAATGACCATGTGCTAAAGTCAGAGTAAATAACGGTAGCCTTAGCAGTGTTACTTTTTTTCAAAATCGCCCGATGCACTGGTAGAAAAAAATGTATATGACAAACCTTTGTTTATCTTATATGGTTTTTGTTATTAATGCACACAGAGGATCTTACCACCAACAATTGACCAATCATTGCATGAATAGCAACGTTAACTTGACACCTATATGTTTACATTTCACTTCGAACACGTGGTTCAACTCAATCTACAATGAAGCGCATTGTTGAAGTGGTAAAATTTTTCGTTTGAGTGGAACGTTTATGTGTTTCTTATCGCACGTCAATTAATGCTACAGCAGGGTTCTCCATTATTTTGAATTTAACTGTGGCGCAAAAGTTACGCCATATGCTTATATTTCAGGTCATTTTGCGACCGAATTCGCGAAGGATCCCGAGATAAATTGAAAACACACAGCCTCAATGAATCAATAGTTTAATATACAAATGGCATTAATTATTTGGCAAATTGATAAATAAATTTAATACTAAAAACAATTAAGCATAGTGTAAAACAAAAATTAGGATGTTTCCAAAATATATGCATACCGTGAAAAGACCCCCTAACACATATGTACTGATAAATAAACAAATATTACTATATAGAATATGAAAATAATAGTACCAGTAATAACACTTTTTAAGCATTTAACCCTTTTTTTTTTTTTTTTTTTTAAATATTTTGTTTACAAAAGGTAAATTACATGTAAACACTTAACAGAGTTTACTAAAGGACAGAGAAAATTCTGGTACATGTAGGTCATACAATCACGCTAACATCTATATATTAACAATTATTGGTCTGAAGACTGTAGTAACACTTAAGCAGATTACAAAATTATATGTTAGTGGATCTACTTGTCTTGTTAATTTTTCAACATTACAAAAATACATGATTACGATACACGTACATTGTACGATGTTTGACTCGAAGTGCCAATGCAATTTAAAGAGGCTGGGGGGTTGTGGCCATTTTTAGACTATATTGATCTCCTTTAGAAGAAGAGCTCCATATGAAGATATAGAAAATGATCAAATTTTAAAACTAAAATTTTTGAAATTTTTCTTTGCCAAATGATAGTTGACAGCTTAAGATATCATATCTAAAAAATTAAGTTAAATCTGGTGGTTAATTTGTGGTTAATTTGTAGACACCCCAGCCTCCTTAAGAACGTGGTTATCAGTAGAACTAGTAAAACATGAATTAATTGATATTAAAAATTTCATTTGTAATTATCGTGAAGTGTGAAAAAATGGCTTGTCTCTTTTCATTCATGTGTCCATCGAGATCTGGAAGATAATTGATTGCGCAAGCTGAACAATGGACCTTAATATTAGAGTAAATTAACGGTTAAGCATCAGAAACTGAAAATCGGTACATAATTTGGATGTTCATTTGATATATAATTTTTTATATTTATCTCATTGAATACAATGATCTTGCAGTGGCGCTAAAATTTTGACTTTTGCAGAACTATGGCGCTAGGGAATTTAACCGTGGCGGAGTCGCCACGTTAGACGGCCCATGGAGAACCCTGCTACAGAATGACACGCCTATTTCTTTAGAAATGAGAAAGAAATATTCGTCGTAATGCTTTAGGTAACCCCACTCTCTGCGACTAGTAACACGAATTACACTGAAAAGGAGATTTTATAAAGTTAGAAGAGAGAGTTAGAGACCCCGATTTTGTATATAACGCGTATTGCAACGAACATGATTGTACATAATTATGAATTTATCCTGTTTATTGGAGTTACCACAACACATGTATCGGTCGAACACGTGTTTACTTGGTGTTTATGTATAGACTGTCAATTTGATTGGCTATTATATTTATCGCAGGTATTCAAATGAACCATTTGAGCGTTGTTTTTACTTTCTAAAGAAATAGGCGTGTCATTATATGACAATCAACGTTCTAAAGAAAGCTCAAAACGTTCCATTCAAACGGAGAATTTTACCACTTCAATGCGCTTCATTGTATGATCGATATCAAATGGATTGAAAAAAAAGAAAGAAAAACCAAATTAAAAAAATGTTTATATGAAAAAAAAACAAAGAATAGATACTATGAAAAATGCCACGGGCGTTTGTAATTTGTTGCTCCATTGTTAACTAGAAAATGCATATAAAAAATGTACTCTGTGCTACGTTCAGAACACTAGCGCTTCAAGGTTAAGGAAAACGAGCAGCATCCCTTAAAGGCATTTGAACAGTTAAATGGACAACAAAGTTTTTTTTTTTCATATTACAATACCCGTGATCATCTGTTTTGGTCAGGGAACCCACTGACAATTGTATTCACCGATAGTACAACAAAGGAATGCAGACGAAAATCGCCTTAGTTACAGTAAGACTTTGATAAACCTAGAATTCCACGTTTATTAAACGTGTTACAAATGAAGTGTTTGTAATCGTGAGCATGGAAATAATAGAATAAAAATGGACAGCACGGAAAAGCATGCAAATGCACGGAAAAAATGTCCTATGCGCCTTTTCGATCGCCTTGTTTTTTTAATAAGTGTAAAATTCCTGTAGTATCCGTAGTAACCCACAATGCAATTCAACTCATTCAGATTAAGCTATATTGGTACCCCATTTGCTACATGTACTCTGACGCCAAAAAATATAGTCCCATTTCACATGCAAACATGTTTGTCCAAAAAGAAATTTTAATACATAAGTGCAGAAAATAATGCAATGAAGAATACTTATTGACGTTTGAATGAATGCAAGAGAGATTGAAATACATTTTTACATATATTATTCAGTGGTGAAAAATGAAACGCAAGATAACTATTCTGTTTACCATCTCTCCACGTGCTAGTCACTTCCTAGCCACATTTATTTATCTCATTTCTTTTTTACATACATATTGTATTCTTTGTACAATATACACGATATTTGAACCTCCTGATTTTTTTATCTACATTTTCTTGGCAAGTATATGTTTTTGAAAGACTTTTTTTTTCGCACGACCCCCAACATGGACGTCGGGATGGGAATTTTTTTAAACCGACATTCCAAACCATTAAGGGCTGTTTGGGACCGTTGAAAGGTAAATAAGGTTTCAAGAATAGGAGTAAAATATATGGTTAATTATCGGATACTATTTTAAAGCAGGGGAAAGCATAAAATACAAGAAGTAATGCCCGAAGCGACCGACAAAAAGCGGCGGCGTAAATCGAAGGTTTTTACAATACTTGGATCTGTAGCACTCTGCTTTGTCTGTCCGAATTTTCTCAAGCAGAGAGCTACATTTCGCTACTATTCTTCCGCAATCTTAATATCCGTGAATGTTTTTCTTTGCATAAACTATATGATCCTAGAATGCAAATAAATGAAATGAACACATTGAACTTAAATGTGTTCAATTCTTTTATTTGCATTCTAGGATTATAGTTTGATTTAAGCATTATGTAAGTAATTAATGATGCTATAGCAGTGGATATTTGGGTTCCTTGGAACACTCTACTTTATTTGAAGCTGGAGACGGACGATCGTTTTGCCAATCCTGCAGTTGAATAGATGTATAAACTTTGGAAATATTTAAGTTGGCGTGACAACTTAAAATTTTCTCTGATGAAAACGATTCCTTTGTCAACTAGAAAGATGTGAAATAAAAATGAGAGAGACTTATACATGGAAATATCACTAATGTACATGTATAGCGCTACTAATTCTACTGTCTCGCAGATAAGTAAATAAAGGAAATCATTAAAATGCAGTCTTGGAGGGGATATTATTTAAATATAAAGCGTGTTTGAATGCCTTTCATCATAGAAAATTATTTTTTGATATGCTTTATTTGAACAAAATATTAGAAACACAATTATACACAGATGGTATCCTTTCAGATATCAGATACCAGTTATCTGGTTATCCTGACCTTCTTGTACAAGCAGCATGCGCAGGACATAGCAAGACCCCAGGGCACGTAGCAGCTGTGAGGAGAACGTGTTCGAATGAGGCTCCTTCCTGCGATACAGTTTGTAAATCAGCCACGCCCCAGATGAAAGCTAGAGTGAATGAGGGTTCGAAAGAGTTGAGTATATTCTTACCCATCAGGCATACTTAATTCATGAACCCAACTGATCAGTGCCAAGGCTTCAGCACGAATTCTCTGAGTATTTGAGTAGCTGACAAAGGATTGCACAAATATAAATATAGTTGTTATGAAATTGGAAGTCAAAATAGTTTGTTTTTGAGGATATTTCAGGTTAACATTCCTATCTCAATTTGCTATGCTATCTTTTATCAGCAATTTGATTTGTCAAATCAAATGATGAAGGCTTTTCTAGGTTACTTCTAAATAACTGAAATATGGGCACGTTTTTGGCCCATTAAAACAAAAATATTGGCTTTGTCATGTTGTAAATTTTGAATTTACCGGATGGAAGTAAATATAAAATTTACGAGTTGTCATGTAAATTTTATATTTACTGCCTCCCGGTAAATTCAACATGACAGCATGAAAAAAAAAATAAAATTCTCAAGGAAAGATTATCTTTGAAATAATTTTTGTATGATCTAAATGCTAAAAAGAATATCTATATTTGAGAAAATTGATTTCAAAGTATTGAATTTTAAATAGTAATGTGTACATTTGCGCTTTAAAGTAATCGTTCCTTATTAATGCGCAGATGTTTCCTTCTAAAACAAAAGTTTCCAGACAGTCTGTGAAGTTTTGTGTCAATTTGCAAAAGTTTAGACACATAATTTAAAAAAAAAAAAATCTCTAGCTAAATTGAGCTCGTTAAACATTAGCATACATAAAATTAATCTTTATTTAACTTACTTACTCACATAGTGGATTTTTCCAAGAATATTGCTTTATTGCTGAAACATTTCTGCTCACTGTTACTTTACATGTATATATTTTTTGACAGGGCAACATGTTTTATGTCTTTCCACTTTTATGATGGTGATAAGAAGATTAAACCAGGTGTTGCGGGAAAATTTAATAGGCTCACGTACCGCTACACTCCCGGTGCTTGCTCGGGACAGTATTGCGGTCCGAATTTTTGCTGCTGTAGATATTAATTAACTTTATATCAGAAGAAAAACTGATTGAAATTCTTCGGGACTCCGCCTACGAGACCTGTGTTACATTTTTTATTGGGTTTCGCTGTTGGATTTAATTAGACATGTACATGATAAAAAAAAAGTTGCCGGGTATTCTTTTTAAAAGAAGAAAGGCTTCTCTTATTTGTCAAGTATGCAATATTGTTATATTAAACATTATAGACTGTCAAAGAAAAGTTTGAATTAAGTAAATTTCTATTTATTTTAATCATCTTTGAATATCTCTAAAAGTCAGATACATTTATAAATTTCTAAACATTGCTGTTTTTGCCTCATATTTATCAGATATGTAAATCAGCAAATAAAGGTTTGTGTTTTTAATACGAGGGATGATCCAAAAGTAACTTCACAACTCCTTTAATTAAAAATCGAAAGTTGTCAATAAAATTCATATATATATATATATATATCCCCTTTGCCTTAAAATTTCATTCATTAAAGCAATATTTTTTTTTAAAATACTAAGATAAACACAGCGTTAGGTCTCGTCTATCGCCGCAGTGCAGTACTTTTGGACAACCCACATATGTTGTTTGTAAATGCCATTTTTTCTTTGTACTACATTTTCACTCTTATCAAAGATCGGGACAGTTCAGAAGGACGTTTTTCGCGGGTAAGACAAGAGTTATATGTAACTCACTGTGAAGAACGTAATAGATTGTTTTCCAGGGAGCCCAAGATATATTTTTTTTCAAGTTTGCATGTTTAGTACTTTGAAAAAATACCGGTGATCCAAATGATTTAAAACAAAATTTGGAAAACTACAAAATGTATCCAATTCCAGATGAAGGAGAAATCATTGCACCAGTCCTTGCAAAGGCTTACCATAAATGTATAATCAAATACGAACATTCCTTAAGGAAAACAGGTATCATAAGGAGTTTTAGGATTGCCGCTCTCGTTAACATATCTCTCTCTCTGTTTTTGTTTGATCAAAGATGAACAAAACAATTTCAAAGGTTATCATGGGTATGTGTCTTATAATACTGTAATAAAATGATCCAACGTATCAACAGAACATCGAAATTTAGATTGTGTCATGATGTGGTACTTTTTTTGATGTTATCAATACTTTTTAAATCAGAGTGAAACCTTTGGCAGAATTCGAACGTACTATAACTTTTAGGGGCGGTGCTTAGCCTTACAATAGCTTAGCCTTACAATATTCCTTGCAATGTTCTGTACAATAACTTACAAACTATGAAATTAAACAAAAAAAAAATATTTGTGTTTTTTTTAAATTTCTCTAAACATATACAATATATCCAGAAGCAAAATTCCATGCGCAGATCAAGGATTTTTATCCGGGGAAGGGGGGTGGTAGTTTCGAAACTTTCTCAAAAAAGTATATGCTGACAAAACGTCAGAGATATTCAAGCTGTAGAAAGTAAACTTATAAGTGAAATGAATGTTCTGTACTGACATAAAATGTACATTGTAGACTATTTAGTTTCAACAACTTCTGTTGAGTAAAATACATGTACTAGGAAAAAATACAAATAGTGGCCTTATCACGCAGTTTTTACATACGTGAAAATATGAGAAATATTTTTGAAAATTAATTAACCTTTGCACTTCATATAGAACTTAAAAAATAATTAATCATTCATATGTGTAAAAACAATTTTAATTGTAATTAATTAATTAATTGTAATTTTAATCAAATATTGAATACAAAATGAATTGTATTCAATATTTAATTCAACATACTCTATTCATTTTCAGGAATATCTGATGAAGCATAGTGGCGGAAGTTTCTATTTAACCCGCCCGTTTTAAACTAGCTGAATGTTGGAAATAACTATCCAAATAGACGTATTTAAGGTTCATCGATACTCTGATAAAAGAGATAACTCTTAATGACATAAATGTCTATTATTCCTTTATAAATTTGTTAAGTTGAAGTGTCTTATTCGTCCAATTTTGCCCCGCTATAATTGTGTGTATTTTACTTACAATTTCCTTTGGAAAATCATGAGTCAAAAAAAAAACAACAAACATGTAATATGAGTGAGCAGAGGGTTTATGAACTTAAAGGGTTTTTATCACGTATCTAAATTTCTTAAAAATGAAACTCTATTATATTCTTGAAACATATAATCATCGTTTAATTATGAAATACTGTTGAAAACGGCCGTAATTAGACGATAAAACACCCGTAATATAGGGTCCTCCAAGTAAAAATCTCCACTAATTATGTTCACCAAACGAAGTTGGGGAACATATTGTTTTTACTCTGTTTCTTATTACTGATTCTGTTGTTCCTTTTCCACTATTATCATTATTTTTTTTTCTTACCGATTTTGTGCAGGCGATTTCTCGAGAACGCCTCGATAGATTTTCATGAAACTTTCAGTAATGATGGCAAATCATCTGATCTTACGGCGTTTTTTTTTATTTTGCCGTCGTCACTTCCGGTCGCGAGATACGACCAATTTTCTGTTTTTAAAGTTGCATTTTGTCCGCGAGTGTTCTCAAAAAGGCTTTGAGATTGAGTCTTGAAATTTTCAGGGATGATAGATTGTGACTTGTAAATTTGAATTTGTTGTTTAGTTTTTGTCCCCGTGACGTCCGTTGTCCACCGGAAGTAGATTAAAAAATGCAAATTTTTATCCTTATTCTTTTTTAAATGTTCATGATAGAGTTCATTTGAAGTGTTTTACTTTCTTGTATCAATCGAAATTTCCCAATCAAGATCTTATCAGAAATATAACGGAAGACCTACTCGTTGCTCGCAACGAGATCTCATATAGTTATTCTTCTTCTTCTTCTTCGTCTTCTTCTTCTTCCTGGGTACTTTTTTGTTTGTACTTTTTTGCTTTTTAGAAAGCTTTGATATTAGGAATATATACAGATGTATTAAAAGTGTAGACAAGATGATGTGGACAACATGCACATGCAGTGAATATCATGTACTAGAAATGACACTTCCTCAATCGCGCCGTACGCCATTACGAAGTTCACAGCATTCCTACTAGATTCTGTGCGACTTTTAAAAAATGCGTGTTTTCATGTATTATTTTTTACAGGTATCTTTCCTTTAAATATTATATAGGGCAGAAAAAAATTTGCGATCGATAAACGATAAATATTGTTCTGAATGGAGATAAACGCCATCGCATTTGTAAAAAAAGGCCCCCCTTACATCTCTCGAAGTCCAGAAAATGTGGAAAAAAAATTCTTCGTAAAACCTTTCTTGTGCACATTTGTGCATTCTAAGGCCATAAATGATACTTTATTAACTGTCAATTATCCAATTATCTCTTAATTATTTTCTAACAGGTTTAATAGACACAACAAATAAGTCCTTTTGTATAAACAATAAGTACTTCGCTTGACCAGGATTGACACCTATGACGTCAGAACAATGGCGCTTAACATCGGCGATCAAAATATGCATATTCAAACTTTTTATTGTATTTTTACACAAAAAAAATTATACACCCGTAAAAATTCATGAAAACAGGTACGCCAGGTTTAAGCAGCTCGAGAAATTAAAGAATTCAACATTTGTGCTATTAAAGTTATGCACTTTTTTGGACGTATTTTGGTTGTATATTATGCGAATATTAAATTTCTAATATATTGACAAATTGTAAACTCTCTATGATTTTCAAAATTCTACCTTTCTACAGTCATCCTAATTACTTAATCTATACATCTTTTTGTCACTTTAAATCACATTATTGTGAAACTTTTAATAAAAAAATTAAAGTCTATGCGGTTAAACGTATTCATTTCACTTCTGTAAACATGACTTTATTTTTTAAATTCAGTTTTTGATAAAAATTTATATCATCTGTCCACCAAAAAAAGTGCTCAAACCTGAAAAGTTATAAGAGTGCGGAAGCAAAGGATATACTTTCATATATTTGGAATATTTCGCAAGTTACATTCCATAATTTCGACCCCTCAGCCCATAGTAACTGACCTGGAATATCTCAGGACATGCGTGTGTCCCAGTGACGGTACTTTCTGAATAAGGTGGCGGATCAAAGTGCAGATGGACCCGGGACTGAAACCCAGTTATGGTATGTGAAATCCATCATATACAATTGCACACTCGTTTAACATCACCTGATTTTTTCATTGAAAGCGTCTCGTTCATACTTGCTGCTTTGTTTAAAACAGTGTACCTAGGTCTGAGGCGTTCAAGGAGTAAAATTTGCAAATGACCATGACATAAGACATTTACAGATATACTTTGTTTTGTTTGTAAGGGATTTATTGCACAGAAAGGTATAACAGTCTCTTCGCTGCGCAATTCGATGACATTGATTTACTAACCACTTACTGAAATGCAGAAGGCAATCATAAATGATCATTCTTCACTTTATAAATGGTAATTATCAGAAATAATGTTGATATCTATAAATTTTACTTACAGTACTTTGCTTCGTTTGTAAGGGCTTTATTGTACAGAGGAGCAGTTTGAAACAATTACATCAATGGATTTCTCAGGAGAAGTTCTGCAAAAGTACGTTAAAATCAACACGGTCAAGGTGAAGTCAAAATATGATTACATGATCTGCAAATAATTTCAATATCTATGAGATTTTTGTAAATTGTGGAGATTTTACATAGTATAGTTTAATGTTTGATGAAATATCAAAGAAAATTTTGTTATAATGGAAATTTAATTTTTCACCTTCATGTTTGTTGCACTATAAGCATTTTGCTCGCCTTGTTCGTCCATCTTCTTTATACTGCAACCTGTACACAGACGGTTTGGTCACTACAGGAGACATCAGCTCACAGTCTACAGCATGGACAAAAACGTCTGTCTATTAAACCATGAAAACCGATATCTTGTTATTCACAGGATAGCTGAGATGAAATTGAATAATATAATATTCTTTGCACTATGAGACTTTATCCCTGTGGCAATGTAGCGAGGACCTAGGTCTGGTAATACGATGACATGGTTTTGAGCTCCTCGGGAGATCAAGGACAATTGTACAAAAAGTACACTTCAGAAATGATCCGTCCTTATAAAGCAGATAGAAAATAGTTGCTACATTTTTTTAATTATGCTTCAGAAATTACCGAAGATTACTTTACATTTGATCGTAGATTTAATGGTAGATTAATTCATGGAGGAAGAAAGCTTGAATATTGAAGGGAGTTTATAAAAAATAGCATTTTTTCGATTTTGGTAAAAATTTTTAAAAGTTTTATATAATTTTGAACGCATGAAATTGAGATCATAACTACGAAAACAAAGCTGAAGATATTCAACGTCCAGCTCTGAAATATTTTCATGCAAAACATCTAGTTCAAATACATCTGACCATCTTAGCTTTTCAAACAAATATTTTATTAAGTAATTTAGGAATGTATGAAGAGATTGATCAACACGTATAACATTGAGCTTTTATTGTATTTAATTGAGACACACTAATAAGTTTACTTTCTTTAAATAAAACATTTTCATTATTAAACATTATCATATTATCTTTCCTCCATTCTTTCTGAATTATATTTTAAATCTCTTCATCATAATATAAATTTGATCTTACTTCATCGATTCTATTCGATTCCCTGCAGCTACATATAAATGACTTTTTCTGTCTCAGCTGCTATCCGTATGATCATTTACTTCTCATCAGACATTCATATCGGGAAGGGAAAAAAATCTTTTGTGCCATAATCAAAATAATAGTTTCACATTTAGAATATAACGTTGAAAGATATGAAAAAGCTAAACCTAATAAATTGGTACAATTGGATATCTTTTTAAAAATGAGCAGTTGTTCCAGGCTTTGGCTAAGTTTTCACACGTCTGTCGGATTAGCAACTTAAGATTGAGATTATATTTCTAAGGTTACCATACTTATATTTTGCACAGCTGATGTTTTCCCAATTTCTAAGGAATCCAACTTGGAGAGTGGCAATCATCTGCAAATGCTTTTTAGAAAGGGATAGAATTTGACAAGAAATTGAAATACCGAACGCAGGTGAGAGAGGCCTAATATATAATTTAATGTTGTGTATTTTGTATATATTGATTACATTTTCGAAACGGTATACTTTCAGAATTTATTCAATGAATTGATATATAATTTTGCTTTTATAACGCATAAATTAATAGCGTAATTACCTTTTCAGGAATGGTGTTCGAATACAAAATAATCCTTTTTTATCTGATGATAGCATTAGAAATTATACGTCTACGTGCACTTCACACATCTAGAATAACTCCCTTGCAGAAGAAAGATTCAGAAATAAACGATGGATGGTATTTCAAGAATTTCCAGCCCGAAATGATGTATTCCTCAAATAATCAACTGGGATTTTCTCTGAACAGCAAGTCTCGCCAATTGTTATCAACTGGCGTTGTTATTAACGATCTCTCAAGGATGTTGAATGATATCAACGACAAACGTTTAAGACGCTATCCTAGTATTCGACAAAATTATAAGATGAAATCGTTGCACGATAAACGCGTTACAAAGCACCTTGCTCAAGAGACACGGGAATCTCAACGGGTTATATACCGAAGGCCAACAGTCCTATGGAAAATATAAAGCTTTCATCAGACTCTCAGGTTTCAGATCATATTAATATCATTGTACATTTCTTTAAAAACATAATATTTTCATGAATGATTTCCTAATTAATATGAATATAAATAATAAATGCCTTTAGATTGAAATTTATGTTGGTTGGTTGGTTGTAACAAGAATGTACAATTATATATATATATATATATATATATATATATATATATATATATATATATATATATATATATATATATATATACTGATAGAGTAATTTTTAAATAAAAACATCAAATACTGAGTATAAATAGCAATACCAATACTTCTATTATATAATACCAATAAAAGAAATGTGAATATTTCTAATATTGAGATTACTGCATGCATGTTCAACTTAAAAAGTCATAAATAAAAGAACGGAATTACAATTTTCCGAAGAATGAAATGTATTTTCTACTCTTCCGGGATTTAAACTACTCCAGTCGTGCTTGATTGGTTTTCGTCTTGCTTCATCTTAATTTTCCATCTATCTTTGCTTGTGTGTTACAACAGAGGAACTCTATGCGTGGTCGACGTCTCTTGAGAAATCATTTTTTAATATGTACTGTAAAATGTTTATTGTATAGGTTTTTTGGAACAACCAGTAAATTATACAAATAATTTTTTTCTGGTTTTTGGGAAACAGATTTGAAACATTAAGGTTCAATATATACATTTGTGGTATGATCTCTCTGTTATATAAACATGCAGACAGCAAAAAACTTTATACCATTGGCACTGGACGTTACTTATTTTTCTTAAATAAAAAAAAAATATACCCCCATACCTAATAATACAAAAGGTACACATCGCAGCCATCTGTTTTTTTTAAGTAGGTCACATAAACTTGTATTTTTGACTGAAACTCCGTAAAATAAATTCCCTGTAGCCGTATTCTTTCTGTGGTCAGTCTTTCGAGGTCTCAACTTACGGACAGTGCAACCAAAAGGCTCGCTTGCAAATATTAAAAATCTTTCTTCAAACTCGATCTTCTGCTTCACCAATCCGAGAAATCGCTAAAGGGAATGTAAACTTCCTGCCCTCCTTCAGCGATTTCTCGGATTGTTGAAGCAGAAGATTAAGTTTGAAAAAAGATTTTTAATATTTGCAAGTGTGTTGCGCCCTTTTGGTTGTACTTTTCGTAAGATGAGACCTCGAAATACTGATTGTATAGGTTTTTTGGAACAACCAGTAAATTATACAAATAATTTTTTTCTGGTTTTTGGGAAACAGATTTGAAACATTAAGGTTCAATATATACATTTGTGGTATGACCTCTCTGTTATATAAACATGCAGACAGCAAAAAACTTTATACCATTGGCACTGGACGTTACTTATTTTTCTTAAATAAAAAAAATATATACCCCCATACCTAATAATACAAAAGGTACACATCGCAGCCATCTGGTTTTTTTAAGTAGGTCACATAAACTTGTATTTTTGACTGAAACTCCGTAAAATAAATTCCCTGTAGCCGTATTCTTTCTGTGGTCAGTCTTTCGAGGTCTCAACTTACGGACAGTGCAACCAAAAGGCTCGCTTGCAAATATTAAAAATCTTTCTTCAAACTCGATCTTCTGCTTCACCAATCCGAGAAATCGCTAAAGGGAATGTAAACTTCCTGCCCTCCTTCAGCGATTTCTCGGATTGTTGAAGCAGAAGATTGAGTTTGAAAAAAGATTTTTAATATTTGCAAGTGTGTTGCGCCCTTTTGGTTGTACTTTTCGTAAGATGAGACCTCGAAATACTGATGTGACCTACCTTAAAAAAAACCCTCAAGATGGCGGCGATGTGTATCTTCTGAATTATTATACACAGGGGTGTATTTTTTTATTTAAAGAAAAAGAAGTAACGTCAGGTGTCTGTGCTTCCAAAGATCATAGGTCATTACATTACCTAGTCACATGGCGCAGTAATATCTACATAAAATGATATACCCTACTTGATATGCTTTTCGTGTACAAAAAATGTATTAAAAAAAAAAAAAAAAAGGATGCAAGTGAAAAAAAATGACCGTTTTATTAAAAAAAAAAAGTATACAAGTATTTAATCCAGTCCTTTGGCAATTTTACACAGAGAGTAAACAACTACGTGTTATGAAGTTTTATGTCAGCAGCATATTCTCTACGTTTTTTCCTTATTTTTTTGTAAACTTTTAGTTTACTTCTCATCATAAATTCTGAATGGTATTCAGCATATTTTTCTTCATTTAACTTTACTCACGTTAAATTTGCAAGTCTGTCGGAAAATATCAATGCACACATGCCACAAATATTTCGAAAAACACGTCCTAGTCCGTCATCGAGAGTATTATCTTAACAATGTAAGCAGTCGTTAATGTCTCTAGCTATGTATATCATAATGAATATGTCGAACTGAAATCATAAATAAAATGTTTTTGGCTAAATTTTATAAAGTTGTGTTTGATTTCTTATCATGAACTGGTTCGGTGTTGTATCTCCATACTTTTTTTCGATCGAAATTCCTCCAACTTTTTATTATCAACGTCCGACGTGTTTCTTGTGCAATTTCAACATGGCCGTAGGAACCTGGGTAGGCACGGGGGACACCCCCCCCCCCCAAATATAGACTACTATAGAAAACATAGCTACTATATGCTTATGCCCCTCAATAAAAAAGTTTTTTTCCTTTTTCCTTTTTTTCTTCTTCTTCTTCTTTTTTTTTCTTTTGCTTGTCAAGGAATTTTTAGTAGTTCATAGTGCCCCCCAACTGCCTTAAAGCAGTTCGGAAAATTCTAAAACCAGCAAAGAAATTCAGCAATTGGGAGAACATCATCAGCGTCTAATTCCAACAGCATAAATTGGTTAAGTATTTTTGTAGATACAATAATGCTGCGCGCTAGGACTAAGAGGAAGACAACATCTCCATATGGTAACGTAAGACGAGGCACAACTAAGTCTAGGGCATATATACTATATCAAGGGAACCAATGAGCCATGACCACCAAGTGTTTAGCTCGGCCACCACACTCAACAGGAACGTAACACTGTAGCGAAGCCTAGCTCTGCACAAATTATGGTGTCTAGTGCTGCCTCTAATTTTATGTCAAGCCCTAATGTTTCTGTATTATCCAACCCAACTGTGGTACCGTCTAGTACATCCGGTACTGTTCCCTTTGCAACAAATGTTGTAATCTCAGTTGCATCAGCATTCAATCCAACTCCTCTGATCAGTGTTTCGGATGGGTTGGGCCTTTATGTCCCCCAAAATAATCAAAGAAAAAAATATGGGGGAAGGAGTGTATTGAATTAGGAATAGTCTTGGAGTCGGATGTAAACTTTGAAAAAGGTCAAAAACTTTCAAATGCCGATGTGAAATTAGTTCTGTAACCTAAATTTAATGGTGAAAAAATTACATCTATTGATTCTTAGACATTCGCTCTTTCTAGGTTTTGCTAGTATTTACTTTGCTAGACATCCTGCCGATTTACAGGGCTTACCAAAATATATTCGGACTATTCGTCTTGGAGCCAGTCGTAACCCAAAAGGTACCTAGCTTCAACATGACAAACAATTTAGATTAGAAATGAAAGAAAAAAACTGTATCAATTGTATCTTGGGGGCCAGTTGACACAGAACAATGGTAACTTTTAAATATGTCAAATCAGACACTATCACAACAAACATAGTCAACACTAAAATGTCATGACTACAATTATAAAGGCACTTGTAATGTTACATGGCTTGAGGAGGGCGGTATGCGCGACAGAGGCAACCTTGTAAGAATTTTTAAGCACACATTTTGCATGGCTCTCATTTTTTTTTATTGAATAGCTCTACTGCTTAATGGAATGATTGTAATTTTCCCAGAAGCATGGCTAAGGCCTGTTATATGGTGAACATTTACTCAAATGGCCCAACGGTAAATCATTCAAAAGCGTTAAGTGTAAATCTATGGTAAGTACAGTAGAACCAAGCAACAAGTAAAGGTTACATGTAGGTTTTATTAACAGTACGCATTTGAATGAAGCACCAAAAATTCATATGCAGTGAGAAAATATGACATACTGGGTATTGCGTAGAACAGGGAGTCATTATGCAAGTGCATTTTGGCTAAGATTCAACGCAACGACACGATATCTGAACAGGACAAAAATTATAAAAATAAAAATTTTAAGTAAACTGAATGCAAAAAGGGAAAGGGATAGTGAATGTCATACCCTTATTACATACTTGGTCAAATTAAGAATTGATAGACCTCCTCTCAGCATGTGGATAATTTAGATACTTTTTATAACGACAAACAAATAATATCCAACTGGGATTTCAAGCTGACATATCATCTTCCTTGCATGTTAGTAAACATTTAAATATTGTTCTTCAAGCATATAAAATTCTTCTTCATTAAATACGCAAACAAACCACGCAATGATCTAATTGTGAACTGGGAAGCAGTATTTTCTGTTGTGTGAAGTTATCGCCCTTATAATTTTAAATTACTTTCATTTTTTGCATAAATAAACAATTCTGCTAAATCCATTTTAAAGTAAAAAGATCAAGAATAAACATTTTATAATTTCTTTTAAAATTACAATAAGCATTTTCTCTTTGTTATAGAGAAAGTATTTTTACCATTATTTTTTATTGTAAATAGACTATAAAACATCTATGTATTATGCTTATAAATAGTTTATTTCACAAGACAAAACAGTAACTTAGTCAGACGGACAAGAAGAAATAAAGAGAGAGGGAGAAAGTGCGGAGGGGGCAGAGAAAGGAGAGTGAGAAAGAAAGGAGAGTGACAGGGGGAGAGGGAGGGAGGGAGAGGGGAGAGAGAGAGAGAGGAGATGGGGAGTGAGAGTTGAGAGGATGAGAGAAATGGGGGGAGAGAGGGAGAGGGGAGACGACGAAGTATGGAGAGAGTGGGGGAGAGGGAGGGAGTGAGACGGAGAGGGTGAGAACAAGATTATGAAACTGGAAACACAACTTTTTACACATGAATAAAAAGTTTTTGAATATAAATATGAATATATAAATATGAATCACAAATTTTCGTATAAATCGCAACTTTATATCTATAGCTTTTAATATATGAATCAGAATAAGTTTTCGAATATTAATATCAACCTTTTGAATATTAATCGCAACATTTTGCATATAATCCATAATGTTTACTATGTATAACAATTTTGTTTCTAAATGGAAAATTAAGCTACTTGGTTTTTCGATGGAGAATAAGATGACAAAAGAAGATTAGTCTAAAAAGAAACGGGATAAGAATTAGATGTATATATTTTAATAATTGTGCCAATTTAGTGTAAATATTTCTGTACACAAATTTATGCTTAAAATTTTACTGTTAAACATTGAAGTTCTTTGCATGTCTGCTTAAAAGTCAGTTAGCTTTTCAAAACAATAATTATAAGAAAATCATTTAATCATTGTGGTGATTTTATTCGTGATATATCTCATGTAAAAAAAAATATTTAATTTCATTTCTGTATATTTACAATTGGCGTATTTCTTAAAAACATTCTGACCAATATCTGTTCAATAGTAAAAGAAACCTGTTAATGACATACGGAGATCAAAGCATTGGAAAGAAAACTTTAACCTTTAATTGAGATAGACAACAAGATTTAATCTATATAACATACGACAAAATGTCACATCGAAACATTTCTCAACAACACAAACCAAGAGAGACCTCAATTGGTAGATCAGACTACTTGTATTCATTGATTTCAGTACATTCTAGAAAAACAATACAATTGTGACAGGGTACATTGTATAATTATCTTTACTATTTCATTTGATTGGCAAAAACGATTCAAAGTTATTTATACAGCATTTTAATAAAAAATTGGATTCAGTTTCATAATAATAATTATAAATGAAATGAATGAAATGTGCGATGTACACAGCTAGGTAAAAATAATTTAACAAAAAAAACTGGTCAGATTTATTTTACCTCATTTGATAAGTGTCACATCAAAAAGGTAAATGACAGGTAACTGGACCCGTTTCTCCTTTATTATACTGACATGGCAATCCAATGGGACAGTCGCTAGAATGATGTTTTATATTTATCTATGTTTATTTTAAACTCAGTTTATGTCAGGTTTGTTATCTTTTGATTACAACAGTGTAATTTTGATTCTTGTTATGCCATTATGTTACTAGTTTCATTTATAAAAGATGTTACAGTTATTCTTGTTTGCTTTCTGTTTTTAACTTCCGAGACGGAGTACATCCATTCCCTTTAGAGTAAAGTTGATTGGTTCATTGGTGTTTCGAGTAAGTTTCACTTGTACATGAGTTTATTTGTTTATTAGGTTTGACTGTTCTGTACAGACTGTTACGTAGGCCACAATTTTAATATCTGAATATTGCGCTTCCCAACAAGCTCGGACACCTGGGTACTTCGGCCATTTTATTTTTTTTTTTTTTTTTTGATCGAAAGAGGTCAGACCTCTCAAATTAAGAAAATGTCATCTGTTTTCATATGTTTATAAATTTGTCTTATCTTTTTTGATCCTGAATATTTCATGTTCAATACTTATAATAATGAGGACTAAATAAGATTTTTGTTTACTTGAGCACTTTAATTCTGCTTCGATCATTAAACTATGTAAATGTTCTGTTTAAATGTGACATTTTTTATAAGTATGTATTTTTTTTACCTGTACGTTGTATAAAAATGAATCTGAAGGACAGTGTTTCAGTAAAGTATTTGATGATAATGATTGTATGTTGTTTTACATGTATGTTGTTTTTAACATTGTTTAAATTCGTGTATTAAAGGGTTACAATGAAAATTGTTTTTATTTCTACAAAATGTAAAGTTCGATCAAAACAAGTCGGAAAATGTTGCACTTATGAATGCCACATAATCCGATTTTTGGAAAGTGTGTTTTTTGCATATTTTAATTATTATATTCAATCGTGATATTATTCAGTATTATGGAGGATTTCTGATTTGAGCAGTGTCTTTAATGTTTCTGCAGTGTTGTACCTGATATATTAAATTCAATCATTGATATACATTTTGTACGAAAGAAGATGCCGTTAGGTTTGAAATTCGTATGATTGAGACCGTGTGCAAAATACACTGTGCATTTAAGATGCGTGTACAGAGGATGATTTCTTTAGTAAATGTTCAGTTGTCCTTGAAATAGGGAGGGGGCATGTTAAGGTCACTCATATTGCCCTGTTGATTCAATAGAATAAGCAATCCCACAGCTATAAAAACATGTGTGGATTGTTTCAATTCTGCTATGCATGGCTACGCATTGTTACTGTAAAGATGTATAAATGGAATATTCCTAAAGGTGAATCTAAGTAGGGCAATTTTAGTTCATTGCTTGGTGTTTGAAATGAAGGACAAGGAAAAAACGACAACAGACAGTTTGCCCGAAAAGAAATTGGATGAGAATTACATGTAAGGAAAAATATTATATACATATTTAAAACTTATGACGGTTTTGTAATTAGATAAAGTATACCTTAATATAATTACTGTGTGTTCCATTTTAATTTAAAATATTTCATTGCATTTTCAAAAGCATTCCATGAACTAACTGGTAATGACTTCCCTCAGTGTTACATCTCATGTTCAAAAAAGGCTTATGGGCCACAACGCTCCTTTGGGTTACCTGTGATCTCCTATTGTGGTCGCAATCTTATTCACTATGGTCATGATTTGAATCTACACTATCTGGGGATGCTTGTACATTAATTTGAGTAATCATGACCCTGCTGTTCCTTTACATTAATATGTGTATAAAATATATATTTATATATATGATCAGAAAAGCTGATCACTTGAGCTTTCAGCTCAGGTGACGTAAAAAATCTTTATAAGAATTCCATATATAACATTTGATAAGATATGCGGTTGTTTTTTTTTAATTTTGAATTTATTTATTTATTTATTTATTTATTTATTTATTTATTTATTTATTTATTTATTTTATTTTATTTTATTTTATTTTATTTTATTTCATTTTATTTATTTATTTATTTATTTATTTTTTTTTTTTTTTTTTTTTTGTTGTTGTTGATTTTTTAAAAATTTTTTTTTTTAAATTTTGTTTTGTTTTGTCTTCAGTTTGTTTATTTGTTTGTTTGTTTTTATGTAATCGAAGATTCGGGGGCATATAGTTTTTGTCCTGTACGTCTGTCTGTCCGTTTGTCCGCAAAAACTTTAACATTGCCCATAATTTTTGATTGGTTGGAACTATGGCTTTCATATTTCACATGTATTCCCTGTGACAAGACCTCTCTTTGGGTACCACCATATCTGGCCTTTTCACCTTGATCTTGGAGTTTGACCCAGTTTTGCAAAAACCCAACTTTAACCTTGGCCATAATTATTGAAAAATTGCTGCTAGAGCTTTCATACTTCACATCTGTAATCCCTGTGACAAGACCTTCCTGTGGATACCAACAACTTTGACCATTTGACCTTTACCTAGGAGTTTGACCTACTTCTGAAAATTTTGGCCATTACTTTTGAACGGTTGGTGCTAGAGCTTTCATACTTCACATATGTATTTTCTGTGACAAGACCTTTCTTTGGATACCAACAACTTTGACCCTTTGACCTTGACTTAGGAGTTTGAGTTACTTCTGAAAAACATTAACCTTGACCATAATTGTTGAACGGTTGGTGCTAGGGCTTTCATACTTAACATATGTATTTCCTGTGACAAGACCTTCCTTTGGATACCAACAACTTTAATCCTTTGACCTTGACGTTAGAGTTTGACCTTCTTTTGGAAAACTTTAACCCTGGCCATAGCTTTTGAACAGTTGGTGCTAGGACTTTCATATTTCACATGTGTATTTCTTGTTAGAAGGCCTTTCCTTGGGCACTATTTATTTTGACCATTTGACCTTGATATTTGACTTACTTTTTGAAAAACTTTAACCTTTTCCATATCTATTCAATGGTTGCTGCTAGGGCTTTTATATTTCACAGGTATATTCCTCGAGACAAGACCTTACTTTGTGTACCAACATATTTGATTTGCATTTGAGAACGTTTAATCTTCGCTATAAGTTGCCATACGGAGGCATCAGTGTTTCACAAACAAATCTTGTTTGCTTTTGTTTAAAAAAAAAAGGGAGGGGCAGTACACTACAGAGGTAAAATGAACCTCTTAATGGCAAACCGAGATCAAGCGTTTGAAAGAAAATTTTATGTTAAGAAACTATCCATCGAAAGCACTGATATAGTATTCAGGTCAGGTAAATTGGATTAAGACATTTATGATTATCCTCAATCCTGTCACATTAATTGTATGTTTCTAATCTCAGAAAAATATAACTGAAATGTAAGCATTTACTATGGAGTTGTTTTTTCTCCTTTCTTATTTTATATAGATACGGAAAGTGGGGTCCATATCAGGTTGTTCAGGCAGCTATATGTTTCTTCAATATATGGCCAACAGGATTTCAACTGTTGATAGGAGTTTTCATTGGTACAATTTCTAAATTCTATCACTTCTGTTTTTCTATCACAAATATGTTAATGAGGAATTTAGTCTTCAATTTATTTTGACTCAGTGGAGCTTACTGTTTGAAAAAAGTATGTGTAGTTTGATATTATTTCTAGGAAAAGAGAATTAGCAAATATTAATGTAAACAATACAATCATTAATTATATTTTTCCTGGAGGGTAAACTTGTCTCCAAATTAACATTTAACATTACATTAAATTTTTCAGGTTACCGACCAGCTTTTCAATGTGCAATTCCCGAGACAGACAGCAAGGATGTAAAAAACGATTCGATTTACATAATTTACGACAAATGTCACATCAAAACATTTCTTAACAACACAAACCAAGGGAGACCTTACCTGATAAACCAGACAGCGTGTATTCATGGATTTCAGTACAGTCTAGAAAAACACAGTACAATTGTGACAGAGGTGCTGTAATATATCATTATAAATTTCTTTTATAGCAGGGCAAAAGAGATCTACTAAACATTTTTTTTTATCTCAAATGCAAATATTTTACAGCATTTTAATACAGAAGATGAATCTCTTTATGAACAATATTGCATTTCAGTAAGATCGACGCAGGCGAAAATAATTCATAACAAAGTCGGATTCATTTCATTTTTCTACAATATTTCGTAAGTGGCAAATCAAAAGGCATGATTAAGTGCGTGGACCCGTTTTTCTTTGATATTAGCCAGTACAGGTGTTTTTCAATATTTAAAAAAAAAAAAACAATGTAGCTAAGAAAATATGATCATTATTCAGCCCCTTTCTCTGTTATTTGGCATAATTTGATCTTGAGGTGCTTGTATAATATTATCATATTAGCCATGAAGGCTTTGATGCAGGTGATTCAGAAAAGACGCCGAGGGACTCGGGTATATAAAAAAAATAGCTTAAACAATGAATGTGTATTCATTTACAGATCTGGGGAATCTTGAAGGAAAAAGTCAATATATATGATTTTCTTCTTCTAATTTCTAATCAAAGCACTTTTGCTTATAATATAAGTAGACACCATTATTTCAAAAAAAAATTATCAATACACATAAAACCTCATAAAGAAAATAAAATTTGCTTCTTCAAATACAATAAAAACTTACTAAGAAAGCAACATTTTTTTATGATCTACCACCACACAATCATTACTTAAAAGCTGATATACACTTATCTTTTCCTAACTTTTGTAGAGTACACAGAATTCAACCTAACGATTTCACATCTCTGTCTTTATAACGTTTATTTTACAGATGGACCTAGTTTGCGATCACGCTCCACTAGCTGAACTTGTGCAAACTTTAGTAATGGCAGGACAAATGGTTGGGGCAGCCATAGCATCTTCGCTCGCAGACAAATTGGGAAGGAAGACCATTCTTCTTGTCTCTCATCTTCTGACAATGGCTTTTGGTTTTGGTGTTGCCTTTTCACCAAACTACACAACCCTGGCGATTTTAAAATTTATTCTCGGAGTTTTGCAACAGGTAATTAATGGGTTTAAGTCAATGAATAGAGAACAGTCTGTTAATCTTTTAGAGAATTAGTTCTTAAACTGAAAAGAGTGTGGTACATTTGATAAGATCCTTGAATTTATGCTGCATTTTAATTAAATTAGCCTTTCATCTCGCTCTTCGTTCAATTCTCAAGTTGTCACGGTAGCTCAGTCGGTAGAGCGCTCGCTTCGTGATCGGAATGTCGTTTGTTCGAATCACGGCCGCGACTGGCCTAAGTCAATTAAAAATAGGTAGCAACTGTTCCTTCGCCAAGCGCTCGGCACTTTGAAGTGAAAGTTGCAGGTCCTTCGGATGAGACCTTAAAAACCGAGGCCCCGTGTCACAGTAGCGTTGGCACGAGAAAGAACCCTCACTGCTCAATGGCCTTGAGTGCCGAGTAAAGGTCTAAATTTGAAGCCCTTCACTGGTATTTGGTGACATTTCTATATGAGTGAAAAATTTTCGAACGGGACGTAAAACATATATTCAATCAATCGTTCAATTGCCGCCTGTGAATGCCAAATAAATAAACCAAGAGCGAGATGAAAGGGTTGATTTTATTAGGATTGGCAATAATCTTTACCTCTGTATAAGAATACCAAGAAGGTATGCATACAGTTAACAATATGGACATTTTTTAATAGTCATAATTCAGCTTTCTCTTTTAAAAATACAAAGGGAATGGTAATGCCAAATGCTGTGTTAGGAATAGAATTGTTCCCGGAAAGAACCCGCTTCTACTGCGAGGCATTAGGTTTGTTTTTCTGGACAACAGGGTTGGTTATCATGGCTCCCATTGCCTATCTTTTGAGAGACTACAGTTGGAGATATCTTCAAATAGCCCTGACCTGCTTTTCTCTGTTTAGTCTGGTTCAGTTTTGGTAAGAATGAATTAAGTTATTAAAATGCGCATCCTAAAGTTCATTTTAGTAGTATGCATGAAAACGTTGACTTTACCATCGTTTATAAGATATAATGTATAAATGTTGTGTTTCCAAAATGACTTTAAGACCAGTAGGATTCTTTTGTTGTTATTTACAAGAGCCTCTTGAATTTAGATAGATTTTTTTTGGGGGGGGGGGATGTTCAGTTTAGAGGTAAAAGGTTTTATATTTTGAAAGAATAAAAAGACTTGTATATACTGCCTTTAATTAAAATCCTTTGAAGAGTTCATCTCTTTCTTTCAGAAGGTTTGTGCTTTTTGCGTATTCACCGTATAAAATGAATTTTTCTTCTTCTTATTATTATTAACAGAACATTTCTTTTGCATTTTTACAAGAAAATAATGCTCTTTCGTATAAAGCATGCTACATAAACTCAATTTTAAATATATATTATATTTAGATTCAGTTTTTTTTTCAATTTGAATGAAAGAATATGGGCGAAGCTGACGGATAAAATTCAATTGTTTGACAAATACGAAAAATTTATCTCAGTCGTGGCAAAAAGTTCTATAATATATCAGTTAACAATAAATTAATGTATACTTTATTTAAAATCTCCATAATTCGCTTATTCTCATGAGCATTGAAATTTTTTGTCTAAGAAATACCTCGCACAGACCATTTTCCCATACTATAGTACAGTTTTTCAAATGAGTCGATCTTTTATATTTTTTTAAGTTATCTCCAAAGTGTTCGTAAAAGTATAGATTTTTTTCAGAAACATGGTGTAAGAAACCATTATACGAGTGCATGTTTATTAAAACATTTTTATGATATAGCATTCGTATCTTTCCCGAAAAAAAATGAAGTTCATTTATTCAAGGTTAGATCACAAAAACAATTTTTAAATTGCCAGGAGTTGTTATGGGTTGTGTGGTTTATTGGTTGAAAAACTGATACTCATGATCTTTTATCACTCCCGTTCAATCTTCTTTTTTTCGTAAAAGAAGTACATAGTTCTTACCTATTAAAAATAATTTTTTTGATTTTTATACACTATATAAGCATGTATATATTATAAACACTGTATAGGCATTTTCCATCCCTTCTATGTTCTTTTAAGAATTAATCTTATTTTGATTAAATAGGTTTGTGTCATGTTCACTCACATATTTAAGATGCTTAAAAAAATAAAAAAAATTTCATTCGAACACAAGAAACATAACATTTCATGGTATTCAGTATTATAAACATACTGTTATAAAATGTAGGGCACAAATTTCAACATATACTAATAAATCATTGACATACAGGGTTCAAGATGAATCTTTAAGATGGCTTGTAGCAAATGGGAAAAAGAAGGAGGCTGACAAAGTAATACGAAAAGTGGCAAAATGGAATAAACTAAGTTATGAGGAATTGAGGAAGATGGTGGAGAGAAAAATGGCGCGTACCAAAACGGTCCCTGAACAACAGACAGATTGTGAGAAAAATGTTCAACACAGCCAGGAGTACGATTCGCCTTTGCTTGAGAAATACTCGATCATAACAATTTTGCGGAATAAAACCGTTCTTGCAATATCGCTGATTATGTGGTTTACATGGCAAGTTCCCTTAAATTATTTAAAGAAAAGATGTATTTGAATTTTATTCTATACTCTACTGGATTTATATTAGTGCATTAAAATATTAAGTGAATATTAAGATACAAAGACATTAACTAAGTCATTATGTGTTTACATTTATAAAATAAATGTGATATCATATTTTGGCGGAGAACATGAATTTACGCACTATATTTACAGTTAATAGTACTGTTTATCACTAAATTTTCGCGACACCTTATTTTCGCAAGATTGTTGTTTAGTATTTATAACGCGAAAATAAAGTTCTCTCGAAAGAAAAGTGATGTACAGTATTTTCACTATGATAATTTTAGAAGCAAACTTTTGGTCTGTTTTCTGAAAGACCGACGAGACATGTAGCTTGTTAGGCGTTTCCCAAGTCAGCAATCGTTTGTTTAGATGAATAATATGGAGTGTTAAGCAGAGCTTGTATCGAATTACATGAACATGTAAATAGAAAAGAAAAGGATTATTTAACAACATAATGATTATAATTTCAATTGTGAAAAAATGTCAAATACCCGTCTGGGAAATAATGTTCTTCTTCTTCTAAAATAAGTATTCATGCAGTATAAACAACCATTTTGTTTTGATATTTTAGGGTTACCAACACACTCACCTATTTCGGATTAACTCTAACGTCGACAAAACTAGCGGGAGATCGCTACCTAAATTTCTTCTTATCCTCTTTTGTTGAATATATTGCTGTTATTCTTGAATATATTATGCTTCGTTGGTAAGTACATGTGTAAATCGTGAATCACTTTCTTTTTAAAGTAACTTTTTTCGTAGTGTCAAACTTCAAACATATTTACTATCAAATGTTGAATGTAAGGGTGCAATTGCAAATTCTGTCATTGTATTTTAGAGTTATGTTTTAGTCAATGTCATTTCTGCATTTCTTCGACAGAAAAAATAATATCTTCAGTTTATCAAAACAAAAACAAAATAACAAACAAACATACATACTCACAAATAAAGGCGCATGGACAATTTTCTATTGACTTACATTGTGATAATCAATAAAAAGAATTCAAATAAATCATGAAAACAATGATAAAACAGTACCCTACAAGCCAGTAGCAACTGTTTCAAAAGGGGGGGGGGGGAACGTCCCAAAAAAAAATTTGACTTGCAAAATAAAACGGAAGAAAAAAACCTATTTACTGTACAAATCCTGGAATTTCCCAACTCTAAACCTTACAGGAAAAAGTGGCCCAACCAGCACCTAATGAAAATTTACTGTAGTAAAAATACCGAAATGCTATATTCACTATAACCCCCCCCCCCCCCCCCCCCCGCGTTCTATGGGCCTAACTTAAGTAAAAATTAAAAATTTACTTTCAGCCTTGGTAGAAGAAGTATTACAGTCGTTTTCCACGCCATATGTGGAGCTTCCTTAGCTTCAGCTACCTTATTGAATCACTTTGCAGGTATTCATTCCACAATATTTAATTTGAAAATTGTTTTATCAAAATGAGGATATAGTGATGAAGTGCCAAACGTATTCGCGAAAATGGCAGTAGAGGTTTCAGTTATCTCTCTTGTAAAGAGATACTTAAGGAATGAATTTAATAGTCACCAAAGTTATACTGTATAATCTGGGTTGGGGCAGTCTACGCTTTATAAACTGTTCCAACCCAGGGTTATACCAATATAACTTGGGTTGCTATTAAATTCATTCCTTTTGATTTAATTTTCCAGCACTAAGTGTAAAAAATAACACAATTTCACCTTCAAAAATGACTTCAAATAGTAAACATTTAAAAACTTCCGAGTACTAGTAACCGATTATCAAATATTGACCGATTTGACATCGCTAATATGAGTATTAACGAGCAAATTTTGTGATGTGTCTTTTGGATTCAGTGCATGTCACAATGAGTCCGGAGATCATTTATATACGAGGGTTGTCCCAGAAATACACTGTACGCGAACATTCTCAATAGCTTTTGTTTCACTAATACTATAAAGTTAAAAATTGGCATACGTGTACATCATGATCAACATTTTTTGAATAATGCATAAAAATTTTAATGAAATATCTCTATAAATAACATTTCCCTCTCAGGTAAACGAATCTTACAATTCAGTTGTCGGCGCAACACTGACGACGTCAAAACGTAGCTTGTGGCGTTTGTGAATTTGTCTGGAAATGTGCTTCTGATAAAATTCGTTTAAGCATAAATTCGGCACTGTATTTAATTTTTTTTAATTTACCAAGTAATACTTCTCAAATACGTTTGTTACCAAAAGATTGCAAAATTAATTCTTTTAATAGACAATTTCTCAATCCCGAAAATAAACCTTACTGTTCGCATTGTTTAACGACGGCCTTCACTTAGGCTTATGACGTCAAGCTCCGAACTTTCAGTTTGTTTTCATTTTTGTTGGTCTACAAAACGTCTCTTCTATTGGATAATCAGTCAAGCCATCCTTAAAACCTCTTCAACTAGGGATAAACCTGTGTCCGAGATTTATTTTTTCTGTTTTTCCATCGTTAACACCTCTTTTATCGTATGGGCAGGAGTCATACCCCACTCAAACAGTACTGTTTAATAGAGCTGATTGCATATATGCATAGGGATTTTACTGTTCGTGACGTTCTGATGCTTTGCTTGTCGCGAAGTTTAAATACTACGTCACATTGTCACCACATCAAAGGAAGTAACCGAGTGCACGTCTCTCCCACGCTAAAGTCGGTCAACGGTAATACACATGGTTGAGGCTATCTGGTACCGCTTGCAGGGTGGCTGGCAGGAGTTATCTCTCCATAAGTGCGTACGAGTTATCTCGCATTACAACGGTGATAACCATGAATTTGTACCCTTATTAAAAAGTTCCCCATCAATCGTTCTATAGAAAGGTTAATGTTTATTTAATATGTAAAACGTAATTATTAAGAAAAAGAAAGGGAGCGAGACAAATAAAGTCCTCTAATTACTGATTTGGGAGGATATAGTGCACGGAGCCCCCCTCCCCCCCAAAAAAAAAAATGTATGATGAAGTTTATTTTTTAAATTATTTAGTTATTTTATATATATATATATATATATATATATATATATATATATATATATATATATATATATATATATATATATATATATATATATATATATATTTGGATATGATTTTTATCCAACGAGTTGTGTGTGTTTTATCCCCGAGCCTTGGCGAGGGGATAAAAACACACAACGAGTTGGATAAAAGTCATATCCAACTACAAATCATGGGAGATTCTTTTTATCCCTTGTTTAATACTTCACAACCAATGTTTTACACTGTTTTATATAGGACTCCACTTTATTTTACTTCAATACGCTAACGCAAAAACCATTGTGACGTCACAACTGCACTTAACTGTGGATTATGAAAAATTTATTAAATTTTCAACAGTGAAATACTGTGATTTATTTATTGAATAAAAGTGATATTCTCTCACAGTGTGAAAGAATACCAAAAATGATATTCGCTCACAGTGTGAAAGGATATCAAAGTAAGTAAAAAATAATTTCTGGCCTGTCATAAGATAGAGATAGTAACTAAGTATCTTGATAGAGCTAAAACTGCAATTTTCTTCTAAATATGTTGCTAAAATCCATGCTATGTAATGTTTTCAGTCTGACACACAACTTCTAAGCTATGACGTCTCAACCGCTCAACTATGACGTCAAGCCTATGACACTGTGTTAAGAAAAGACAGAGGCAAAGGGAAAATCAAAGAAAATGTAATAAACAGAAAATTCAATGTTTTGTAGATGAATATGGAATTTATTTCACTCGTGAGGCAGGATTTTTTGATATTTTCACTCGTGCTTCGCACTCGTGAAAATATAAAAAAAATCCTGTCCCACTCGTGAAATAAATTCCATATTCATCTACAAAACATTGAATATCCTCTATTTATCCAATGAGTCATATCCACGGGATAAAGGGGTAAACATGGGATATATATATATATATATATATATATATATATATATATATATATATATATATATATATATATATATATATATATATATATATATATATTAAAATAAAATCCAAGATAAACAAACAAGTTCACATTTAATTATTACACTAAGCGCTTAAACAACCTATGCCACCCTAGTACTTGGGTTTTTAGAAGAAAAATTGATCAGTGAAACAGACAGAAGATTTGGAAATCAGTTTGCCCAATATATACGCTTTAATTGGAAGCGATATTTAGATGACTGTTTCATTTTCTGGAACAGATCTAATGAAGATTTACAAGAATTTCATTCTATTCTTAACAATCTACACCCGTCTATTAAATTTACGGTGGAAAAAAGCGGATTGGAACTACCTTTTTTAGATATCCTTATAATTAAGGAGGGTCGTAAAATCATAACAGATTTATACTACAAGAAAACGGATTCCCACCAATACCTTGTATTTAATTCCTGCCATCCTTCACACGTAAAACGTAACATACCTTTTAATATGGCAAGACGTGTTTGTACCATTGTCATAGATGAAACCAGAAGAAACAGCCGTCTACAGGAATTGAAAACTTTTTTACTTGGACAAAAATATCCCATTGATCTAATAGACGTCGCTATTGAAAGGGCCAAGTCAATACCAACTACAGATCTCCGGAGTTCTACTAGAGCAGGGGCCCAGGAAAACAATAAAGAAATTCCGCTTGTCGTTACACATAACCCCCGGAACCTTAATATGTATAATTCCGTAAAACAGTGTTTCCCCATTCTACAAAAATCCCAAAATCTAAAGGAATTAATTGACCTGAAGAGCATAATCTATAGCCGGCGCCAACCCCCAAACCTGAAGAAACTCCTTACAAGAGCCAAATTTTCGTCAAATGAAGACATACGCACAGTAGCCAAATGTATGGACCCCCTATGTGGAACCTGTCCTTATTTAAAAACAGGAGAGACGTTTACTTTTAAATGTGGTAAAACATTTACCGTAAATGCGAATATGTCATGCAAATCTAAAAATTTAATATACTGTATGACTTGTACTTCATGCGGGGAAAACTACATTGGACAGACCGGTAACAAACTAGCTGACCGCGTAAGAGTCCATAAACAACAAATACGGGACCCTTCTGTCAGGAATACGCCATGCAGTGAACATTTTGATTCATGTGCGAATGGAAACTTTTTAATATTTCCATTTTATAAAGTTCTAGAAAATAATGAACAATTACGGAGAGCCAAGGAAGATTACTTTGTAAAATTATTTAAACCTAAACTAAATGTAAATTGAACATTATAGCTTAAAATTAGCAGTCTATTTCATCACAATGTACATATGTAACAGCGTCTCAACTAATTCTTTATTTGTCTAAACTATTTTTTTTATTCAAATATCATCTTTTCAAGGTTTGATTATTAATGGCTCATTCTTCAACTACAAAAAACTGTCCTGAAGCACAAAATTGAAATGATAAAATTTCACTTTTCAAATTTGAGCAGAATATAGCTGAATTGGTAAACAAATTTTACTGAAATTCCAGATCGAGAGGTTTTTACTGAAAATATTTTTAAAATTTCCATCGTCTTACCTGCATTGTTGCAATGCCATACGACTTGCACAATATATGCAAATGCAGATTAAAAATATTTCTCAATTCCTCAATGCAGAAATTTCATGACTACGTAGTGTGAATGCAGGCTTCATGTATGTTGAATTATTACGTCTGTCGATGCAGGCATTGACTGACTCCAACGTCAGTCAATGCAGGCATTGGTTGACTACACAGTTAGTCAATGCAGGCATTGACCAACTACACAGTCAGTCAATGCAGGCATTGACCGACTCCAACATCAGTCAATGCAGGCATTGGCCGACTACACAGTCAGTCAATGCAGGCATTGGCCAACTACACAGTCAGTCAATGCAGGCATTGGCTGACTACACAGTCTGTCAATGCAGGCATTTGCCGACTAAACAGTCAGTCAATGCAGGCATTGGCCAACACCACAGTCAGCCAATGCAGGCATTGGCCGACTACACAGTCAGTCAATGCCTGCATTGGCCAACACCACAGTCAGCCAATGCAGGCATTGGCCAACTACCCAGTCAGCCAACGCAGGCATTGGCCAACACCACAGTCAGTCAATGCAGGCATTGGCCAACACCACAGTCAGCCAATGCAGGCATTGGCAAACTCCACAGTCGGCCAATGCAGGCATTGACCGACTACACGGCCAGTCAATACAGGCAATGACCGACTACACAGTCAGTCAATGCAGGCATTGGCCAATAGCACAGTCAGTCAATGCAGGCATTGGCCAACACCACAGTCAGCCAATGCAGGCATTGGCCAACTACACAGTCAGCCAATGCAGGCATCGACCGACTACACGGCTAGTCAATACAGGCATTGACCGACTACACAGTCAGTCAATGCAGGCATTGGCCAAAAGCACAGTCAGTC